TAAAAAGAGCTAATATAGAAATGTTAGAGCTTTCTATTAGTTAATAAAACAGAACTTTTTGCCAGAGACCTCACCACAGAATTATCTTCAATAAGAAATGTTCTACTAATGATTTAAAAAAAAAAAAAAGCTTCAGATAGTAATTGGAAACATATTTTATTACTTGGATTTTATTACTTCGCAGTTTTTTTCAAGGTAGAAAACCTAAAACTGATGTATTTAATAGAAGTGAAGGAAAATATTTTAAACAAGATGTGACCTGAAGAACAGCAAAAAAACAACCTAGACCAACTCCAGAGTCTGGAGGGCTAGCAGAAGAAAACTCTGTCGTTATTCATCTGCTTTCTAGTTTTGACTCCACTGTAGTGCTGTTTATCTTTGCTTAACTCCCTTCAAATGTTCTAGTCAATAATATTTGAATATCTCTGCTCATATAAGTAGTCATACTAATGTTACAAACAGCATGGTGTGGGCATGGATAGCCATGAAGCACAGCAGCAGCATGCATTAATGGGGTCCTGAATTCACCAAATACCTGAGGGTCCCCAGGACATACACTTCTGTTTTCAGTTCCCATCAAGGAAAAATTAGAAGAAACAGTAATAAATCTATGCCACTAAATAAAAGTATGTAAGTAAATAGCGCAAACATGCCATTACCACGAAATAACTCTAGTGACACCATACCAAAGGGAAGCTGTATCCTGACACAGATCAGAAGAGGAGGCAGTCCAGTCCAGTCCAGTCCAGCCCAGCCCAGCCCAGGCCAGCACTCTGAGCAGCCACCCCAGCAACTTGGTTACCTTGTGCAATAATATTCCTGAACCTCTCTGTCACTGTTATGAACTTCTGTGTGCTGAAAAGAGAATTTTACCTGGACCTAAGTGATAAATGAAAACTTGTTGGCTTACTATGTGTAGATTTAAGGATGTGAGATGAGAACAAAAGTACAATAAAGGCATCTCTACTCTCCCTTTGTACTTCCTTTGCTGATCAGATGCAGATTTCACAAATCTCAGTGACTATGAAACCTGAGATTGCCTACCCCAACTCACAATGCTATACAGCAAGAATACTTCCAAGGACAGATAAACATATATCTGATTTGCTGTCACTCGTCTCCATGCTGTGAGGACCCAGCAGTCTCTTCCCATTATTATTTCTGTTGAGAAGCCTGTAGCTTTCCGTTCCAGGTAAAGATCTAAGTGTTTTCAGCCAAGTCAAAATAAAATAAAAAATCAAATCAAACAAAATCAAACAAAAAATAAAATAAAATAAAATAAAATAAAATAAAATAAACACAGTGTGTTTAATTTCAGGAAACACCTGCCAGCAGTTTGCACTCAGGAGAAGGTCAATGAAAACCTGGAGGAAGCTCTTTGCAGAGAGTGCGTGGTCTTTTTTGAGGTTGGCCCAGTAAACCATGGTCCCAGACCAGAAACCCAGAACCTGGGCTGGCCACTTAAACCTTTACCTCCTTATTTCACAACAGGAGAAATACACCACCCATTACCTAGTTTGAAAGCAGTTGTAAAGTTACAGGCAGTGGTTTTTGGCCTCACTCCAGCTTATCTAGCACAGTGCACTATTCATAGGCTACTCAGATTCACAGCTGCAATAAAACAGAGCCACTCGATAAGCAGCTCTTGGGTTTTTCTTTGTTCAGACACACCAGCTGATGTGCTTCAGGGATTACTGCATTATCAGGATGGTTGCATAACTGAAAGGGGGGTGAATACCATTTCAAACCAGCAAATGAACTGCCAGGCGCAGGTGTGAGAAGGACAAACAGAATCAGCATGGGCTTAACACAGAGATGAAAACAGCAAATCCTCCCACGACAGAACTTGAAAGTAATGGTCGCGTTAAAAAAAAACACAAGCAGAAGAAGAAATATTATACCTTAACCGTTCTTGTTCTGTGTTATTTGTTAGTTCTGGTGCTGATAGCCTTCAGAAGAAAAATGTGGTGTCCAAGCCAGAAAAAGATAAAGTGGTTGGCTTAAAGCCAATCAAGCAGTCCTATCAGTTTCTTGGTTTGTTTCCAGATTTTTTGGAAACTTTTCCTGAAATCGTACAGGGAATGCTGAACCAATTCACTGACTCCCACAGCCCCTCAACGGGGACCCACCACCCCTATGCTGTGAGTTGTGTGAGGAAAGCCATCACCTGTATGTGGATCAAAGGTTGGAAGGTGGTGATCCTGACACAGAAGCCAGAGATCCACATCCCAGTTAACCTGAGAAGGTGCAGCCTGTCCTGTGCTGCACAGATCAATCAACTGCACAGTTGATCCTGTGCTTGGCCACAGGATAAACTCAGACAGCTCACTGTAACAGGAGCTTGCAGGCAGCTCCCGCTTGGTACCAGTGATCATGCCTCCGGGCTGGCCTTGCCTTTGTCTGAAAGGGCAATAAGAAATTCTCCTGTGAATGTCCTACATGAACAGAGGTGTGTTCTTGCCAGAAAATTATATAATAGCTTGAGCGGCCAAAAAGGCGGAGTTTCTCTCCACGGACAGGACCTTCTCAGTGTGCCCTGGAAAAATCCACCCAGGCTCTATCTGATGCTGCACAAATGCAAGGTTCCCAGCATCTGAAGGAATGTAATATTTACTCACTATCTATATTCCTCCTCTTATTCTGTCTTATTAAAATAGCTGTTTTATTAAGCCATTTGTTGTCAAGCTTTTCTTACAGAGATCCACAAGAGCCCTGCATCGGCTCACCTCTCAGCTCACTCCTCCCCCCTGGGGCAGAACATCTGCACTTCCCACTTGTGCCTTAAAATATAAGTGAGTCTTTCCAAGCTAGGTAGGTATCTGTGCTCTTCCTACAGTCAACAGAAAGCTAATTCGTACAGTTCAGAGCAAGTCAGAGCATGTTTGGTCAGCTGAATCACTTTCTGTACTCCACTGGTCATGCTGACTAGCCTTCCATATGAGGCTAGGACTACTGCAAGGATGGCCACATCCTATTTCATCAGGCTATATGAAATGTCTTTTTAAAAATGACATAACAGAAGCCATTTGAGACACAAATGTTGCCAGACCATCCAAAGGATGACAAGAAGGACCTTGAGCACTCACAGTGTTTGCATGCCTTCAACAGCAGACAGAAGCAACACATGATAGCAATGCTGTTTCAAAAAAAAAATTCCGTTATGAACACAATCCATTCAAACTTGCTGATCAGATGCAGATTTCACAACCTGACCTACCTTTTGCCCAAGAAGAGCTTTTCCTGTAGCAATCAAATATTTCAGGATGGCTACAACAGCTGCGAACTAGATATAAAATTGTCATGGGCATGCTTTTGGCACCCAATGTTACTATGCTGTTCGGGGCTAGTCTGGGGCATGTCGTTACCTCTCCCTGTATCTCATATAGACTTAAAGATAGGCAAGGACTTAAATTCTATAAAAGAACATTACGAAACACGTAGTGATACCTAACTCCATAATGCCAAGCTAGTTAAGAAGTGAACCTGCCTAGAAAGTGCTATAAAACATAAATGGCTGGCCTCAGCAATGCAACAGACCCTTAGACATATATTAAATGAGCATGGTGTAGTACATGGTGAAAATGGAACCAAGTTGCTTTCATCCTCATTGATCTGAGGTATTAACAAATAATAAACTATTTTGCCATTCAGATTAGATATTACGAAGAAAATTAATTATTCTAAGACTGGTGACAATGACAGAGACAAGTTAAAATAATCTTGCTGGATCTGCTAGTCATTTAATGTTGTTGCCAGTAAAGAATCGTACTTTAGATGAGAGTTCAAAGTATTTTTCCTTTCCAGGATTAAAACGGAGTTGACAAATCAAACTAGAAAAACCATTCAGCTGTTGGTTGCTGCTGTCCCTCCTCTTTTGTGGTTGGCTGCTGCTGTCCCTCCTCCTTTGCTGTTCTCACACTCATAGGAGGAACAGAAACTTCACCCAAGCTCTCATCCTACTTTTACCTGAAGATCTAAGTTGCTGCACAGTCATCAATACAGCCAAGGACTGAAGACACTCAAGTGAGAAAAATTCTCTGGCAAGTTTCTTTTACCTTCCTTTCTTAAAATTTATTGGGTCACTGCCCAGACACCAACCCAACCTCTCGCTTTGCTCAACTGAATCTGTGTGAGTAAACAACAAATCGAAAGGAAATATTTTTGGCAATGTTTGCTGTTGGGATTGAACAGTCTTTTTTTCTGGATGATGTTTTTAATTGAGATTATTCTGTAGACTCCCCTTAAGTAGAACTTTCCTCTGATCAGATTCTGGAGCTCTGAAGGTTGAATGGCTAAGAAAAAGCCTCCTTGAAAGAAATCCAGAAACCAAAAACTAGTCATTGTAAAACTGTACAGCAGGTAGTAGACTTAACTAGATAAATTTAAATAATTGAAGTGTAACAATCTTTTGGTAATGATCTACCTAGTTCAGGTTATTTATCTGCAACAAATTTCAATATACAGCAAAGCGCTTTAAGAGTGAAAAGCTCCAGAAACAAAACACAGAAAAGCTCTGCAAATATTTTCATGAGTATGGAGCCCAAAGGCGGTTAGCAAGTTCTGATGTTTATTTTCTTTTAGGAGGAAGGGTTGGGTCCTGTATCCTGAGTTCCGTGGCAGCTGTTATGCTCTGCCTTCTTTTGAATCACACCCCCAATTACTTTTTCTTGCCTTTCAAAGGTCACATACTTAAAGACAGAACTTTACATAATAAATATGTTTGCTAAAATGTTTAAAGATGGGAATAATGGCTTTTTTTTTTCTCTTTTTGTATCCAAGTAAACAGAGTAATTTTTAGAGATACTGAGAACCACCAACAGCAATACACCAAGCATTTCTGAAAGTTAGATCCAGCTTTAAGGAGCCTGTACATGGATTCAGATAGGCCAAATCATAGCCAAAAAAAAATCAGAGGACATGGAATTCTGTCACTAAAAGAGACCTCAAGAATGGATGAGTAAATTTAGCCTTTCTTTCTTCATGCAGTGGCTCAGTAGCCCTGGATAAAATGGAGGATTTGAGTCTGAAGGAGACAGTGCCCCGAACTGAGATAGGTGAAGTGGAAGGTATTCCCCTCACAAAACCAATATGCAGAACATGGGACCAAGTGTGGAAGTTCAAAGCCAAACCTGATGATCTGCTCATCGCAACCTACGCAAAAGCAGGTTGGTGTGGGTGAGAAACAGCACAGGAAAGTTTGGGGTAAAGCTTATTGCTTGAATTCAAAATTATGTTTTTCCACTGTGACTGATATTTGTTTAATCCCAAAGTAGACATGTTTTAAAGACATAAAGCTCTGTCAGCTGTGACTAGTAATTTCTGACTTCTTCAGCAGAAGTAACAACCATCTATTATTATTGAAGTTGTAAGGTTCCTATACTTATACTTAAAGCATTCCTTTTATATAGATTATATACCTATATATTAATGGCAACTATAGAAGTTTTCCACCAATAGGTAATGATTTAACAAAGCCTAGTAAAAAGCCATCATTACTAAGAAATAACAGAAACTGATCGAACAACTATGGATTGTATTATGTATCTGGGGAATGACTTGGTGTGTAAACCAGTATTAATTTCTCAAAATGGGTTGATTATTTTAAAGAAATAAACAAATTCACTTAATAATTTCAGCCAATAAAATAGAATACCCACCATTATTACCTATCTGGTATTTTATTCAGTGGTTGGCCACTTAGCTCATTACTATGTGTCCTCCTTATCAGACCCTTTATACTTACTGCACAGGAAAACAATGAACAACAAGCATCAATATTAATCCTGGATGAATACAAAGATGTACAATGCAGGGGATTCAGGAACAGATTCAGGAACATTTGATGATCATAAAAAATATTACTTGAATTAGCAAGATTTTTGAAGTATTTTTTCAGTAGGAAAAAAAAATTATTAGAAAAAAAAATCATTATTTTTTAAAACCCGAAACCTTTTAATTTATTTCCTGTATACTGAAAGCAAAAACGCATTGCTTTTTTTCAGCCTGAATTAAAACCTCTCAGACATTGAACTGAAAAGAAATAAAGTTAGGAGTCAATTTGACATTATATTGTATCTGACACAGATGCACAATTCAAGTGTCTTAAGAAGGGCTGAGTTTCCTGCCCGCACTGCTTTCCAAATCATCCCTTAGCCTGTTCTCTAGCTGACCTGCCACTGTACCTTGGAGGAGATGTGGTTAACCCAGTGATCACAGCTAAAAGGGAAGAGGCACATGAGAGACACAATACTGTAACGCTTACAAGATGTTGCAGTAGCTCAGGCAGATCAGGTGTTGCACAGACCCTCATTAAAGCATTTCAAATGGGAATGTTGAAAATACTGCAACTTTTTTATATTTTAAAACTTTATGAAATGTTTACTCAAAGCTCAGGTATTTAATATTTTCTTTCAAATTCAGGATGAAAACAAATGTTGAAATACCTGAATTTTTGTAAGGTATGAACATTGGGAAGGGAGAATTTCATTCCTCTCTGAAAATAATACAGTCTCCAAATAATAGTGAGTTTATCCTAGAGCTTTTTTCATTACCAGCCTGGGGGTGAAGGCTATTTCTGCTGTCAAGAAGGAGCCTGTCTAAAACGTAATCCCTGAAACTGTGCTTTGGGAATTACCTCTGTATTCCTAACTATGCATTTTTCCTCCCTTAGCCATTTTGCTCTCTTTCCATTTTGTCCATCATCTTCTATGATGTTCCTTCCTCCTTTAATACAGTATTCATCCTTCTGGCTTTCAGTTCCCTAGCAGAAGAGACTCTTGGCTATCCCTGAGGGAAACATCTAAAAACACTGACATTTTCAGGTACCACATGGACACAGGAGATAGTGGATATGATTCAACAAAATGGAGATGTTGAGAAGTGTAGACGCACTACTACTTACAGACGCCATCCTTTCCTTGAGTGGTATATCGAAGAGCCTTCACATCTGAGATACTCAGGTGAATACCATACAAGTAGGTTTGTATTTTAAACAAAATGAAACAAAACAAGCACTCAGTGCTGATGCCACAGGTTTCCTGGAAAAGGTCCCACTTGCTTTGTCGCTGTAGTATGCACTGTGATGGGCATTAGGGATCAGTTCAGTTGCTTTAACATAAACATCTAGTGCTACTCAAGCCGATGAAAGGCTGGCAGATGTGACCCAGGTGCTACTGAAGACCATGCTATTCTAGAATGGCATCTGAAAGCTGTGTGTGACACTCCACAGTACTCCACAGCAGCAGATATGTGCAAAATAGCAACGTGGGGGCAATTGAATCCCATTCTCTGACTGGGGGCTGTATGGAACAGAAACCTATCTTGTGGATGTATTCCCAAAAGATGAATAATGTTTTCAGTGGTTTTGCTACTGTTCTGAGTAACTGCTGTTAAATTTCAGGGTCTAGTAATCTAAACAAGCTATGGGGCATTCAGGCAGCTATCAGGCCTGAGTGTTCGGCAAAGAAATTTTCCAACAAGAGTCTTCCCGCAGCAAGGGCTCCCATTCTACACAAATCTTTAAGCCAGACTCTCTTCATATTTTAAGCTAAAAAGCTTGACTAACTTTGCATCAGAAGTGCTACTTTTTCTCCTCTAAGCTAGACTGTGTTGACGCAGAGACAGACAAAAAAATGATAGAGGATGATAGAAGATGATAGGAAAAAAAATGATAGAGGTCATGACAGATGTTTAAAAAGGAGGAAGGGAGGGGATAACACCTTTCCCCATATCATTGGATATTCCCAAGTATTGCCATATACCCAAAGCTACTCAAAATCCACTGTCCATCCTTCTCCTAGTTTCTCTTTACATACTATCCAGAAAGTCTAGTCAGCCAGTCTATTCTTCTCATATCCTAGAAAGAAACTAAATTTTCTTACCTGCAAAGTGAAAGTGAAGTGTACCTTCACTAAATACTGTGAAGGAAAAATATTGGCTGCATAAATATAAATTGTTATTCATCATTATCCCTTGGAATGCAGGGGTTTACACATGGGCCCGAGAAAGCAAGAAGATATGAATCAGTGTTCCCCCTTTCTTCCTTGAATACATAGATAAAAAATTCTCTAGAAACACTGAAGGTGCTTATGCAATATTGTACGTGTTACATTGCTACGTACCTGCTTTGGAGATGAATGATTGTTGCAAGGTGAACTGCTGAAAAGTGACAGTCAGAACTCCACATAGGAGAATAGCAAAGAAGTGCTAGTGCAACTCGGAGAACAAGTCAAGTCACATCTGATAATGAAACATCCCACAGGCCTGGAGTTAGCTGAAGCTATGCCTTCTCCACGAACAATAAAAACTCATCTCCCAGTGCAGCTGGTGCCTCCCTCCTTCTGGGAACAAAACTGTAAGGTAAGGCTGAAGAGGTAGGACTCAATTCTACTTCAATCGGAAAGAAAGTTACATAACCACGACTGAATATGGTTTCCAGAATCTTTGTGAAACCTAAAGGTCTCCCCAGATATTTTCCCTTTAATGTGAAAAGCCTGTGTGAAACTAAAGTAAGTTACCTGCGTTGGATTTCAGAAAATGGCAGCTTCAAAGCAAAATCTCTTATGCCTCTGTCATCAGGCTCCAAGAAAAAAGTCCAGCAGGTGCTCAATATCTATACAACCACGTGTAAGTTAATATTTCCCTCTCTCTCCCTTTTTTTTTTTTCATACCCAACAAAGATAATCTATGTGGCAAGAAATGCAAAAGACAACCTGGTGTCATACTACCATTTCCACAGAATGAATAAAGCATTGCCTGACCCAGGAACCTGGGACAAGTTTGTGGAGAAATTCATGACTGGACAAGGTGATGAACTGCAATCAGCTGTATAAGAGATTTTGTTTATTTTAAAAATGCATTACATCGATTTATTTACTTCAGCTATGGTTTGAAATCCAGTGCTGACACTCACGGAAGGATATCCAGTAGTAATTTATCTTCATTCATGGGTTTTTTTATTAGTATCTGCAAGATTAATTTTATCTTTTTGTTCTCACTTTGGAAAAAAAAAATAGCTATTCTTTATTCTACTATCACTCAGAATCCTATGTGACAATTTTCAGGATTAATCTCTTCTCTCAGAGGTTAAAAGAAACCTGCTTGGAAGCCAGCTGGGAAAGAACAGTGGTTTATTTGGTTTTACTCTGGCCTGATATACAAGAAACCAAGGTTTAATTTTGTGTAGAAATGTGCAGTGTCAATTTGAGTTAAGGGAGTCTTTTTACCTGAATTCATCTGCCTAAAAATCAGGCATCTGAACAAAGCCAGTTATCTATCTAATGACAGGCAACCCCAGAAGCCGATTCTTCCCCTTCTAAAAGAAGTGCTCATATCCAAGAAAGGAAACCTGCTCAGATGGATGGCAGTCTGCAATTTTGGTCTTTAAAGCTTCCATAGGTCCTTAATACCACCATGTAGGCCTAAAAATACCACTATAAGAACCAGCATGAGAGTGTCATATCTAAAGAAGACCTTGTTTCTTGTGTTTGACCAGCTTGGCTTGGGAGCCGTCTGTCCCAGTGCAGACACCTAGAACATAGCTATCTCTGTCCAAGCTAGTCATCTTGACACTTTCCAGAGAGAAAAAGGCACTTCTGATAGTATAACAAATATTTAAACCAATTAGAATCACAGAATAATGGAAGTTGGAAGGAACCTTTGGTGTCCAGCTGGTCCAACCCTCTCTGCAAAGCAGGGCCAGTTAAGGCTGGTCTTGTCCAGCTGATCAGATGAATCAATCTGGAAACGTCTGTTTCTTCCCATCAACTGTAAACACAACCTGGATTCTTCATTCAGGGGTAAGCATCTGTAATTTTTGCCCTCTAAAATTACACATGAATCCTGCTCTGAGCATCCATACACCTGAGGGACTAATAGCGTGAATGCTGTGATAAGCACAGAGCACAGCAGTCATGGCCACGGTGATTCAAAACCAGCTAGGAAACACCAGACAGTGGTTTTGAGGGAAACATGAGCGCCACAGATACCTAAAGACAGTTTGGGCATTTACAGCTCCTGATGATGTTACTCCTTTTGCAGTGCTCTGGGGTTCCTGGTATGACCATGTAAAAGGATGGTGGAAGGCAAAAGATAAGCACCGTATTCTCTACCTCTTCTATGAAGATATGAAAGAGGTAAAAGGCTGAATGTATGTTTATAGAGCTCTGAAATCTGGAAGTCCAGTAGATACTACCTATGATCAACAGTCTTCTACCATAATGCCAGCTGTATCAGTAAATCTTCCAGTAAACTGATCTTCTCACCCTGACAATTTCAACTTTAACACTATGTTTGATTTCTTTTCTTATCCTGGCTCTGTATCTTATCCCGGCTCTGTATCTTATCCCATGTTATTCTCTCTGCAGAATCCAAAGAAAGAAATTCAGAAGATTCTGAAGTTCCTGGAGAAGGACATGAATCAGGAGCTTCTAAACAAGATACTCCATAACACCTCATTTGAGATAATGAAGGATAATCCTATGGCAAACTACACTAAAGAATTTCAGGGAATAATGGATCACTCTATTTCTCCATTCATGAGAAAAGGTACTGAGGTTTGTTACTGGCACCAACTCTGTCTTCCTGGCTGTCATTCTGTTTTGAAATAAGCCTTGAAGCACAAGTATCTAGTGAATCATGGCTAATGGGCTTCAGGAAACTGGTAAATTAATATTTTTTCTTTTTTTGCTTTGCTGTTCTGTAGGGGCTGTTGGGGACTGGAAGAATTATTTCACTGTGGCACAGAATGAGATATTCGATGAAGATTATAGGAAGAAAATGGCTGATACCTCTGTTGTTTTTCGCACGGAATTGTGATTATTAGCAATGGGAATTATTCTCTATGATCTTCGGCCTTTTCCATTTTATATATTTTGCTTTGCCTTCAAAAAATATCTTTGTCCCTAAGATTTCAATATCTCTCTCACACATACCACTGATTTTTCATTATCATGTAGAAGTTTAAGTCTCCCTGAAGGAAATAATCCCACTGGATTCTTCTAATTCATCCCTTCCACAGTAACTTTCAGCATTAACAAAAACATCTCAGACCTGCTTTGACTTTTTGTCTTTGTAAGACTGCAGTTGATATTGCTGGAACTTTCAAATCAGCCTCTAGCAGAAATTAGGAATCAATAGGGAAAAAAGTGTTAAAAGAGTGCAATAGGTGTGGGCACTATATGTTATTCACATGTTGTATAAACATTAATTAATAAATAACAATAAACAAAATTAAAGGTGGTCAAGTATAAACAAAGCAACAGAAGTGCATGAAGTAGAATAATTTTCTTCTTCTGTTTTAAGCTGGACATCATAAATGCCATTGAGATGAAAACAACATTTTCAAAAACACTGAACATCCATTTCTTCCTTTGACAAAACTTGCTAAAGGGCTACATAGAGGCATTCATCTACAATCCAGCTGTGGAGGCAATAGTCCCTACTGCATCAAGACAAGAAGCTTTTCTCACTGTTGCCTTTTGAAACTGATAGCATCATGTTCCATTATCATTTGGAGAATTCCGATAGTTGGTAAGAACCAAGTCAAGAGTCAGTGCTGCATATACCCTCTCCCTCTTCTCCACTGTTGTAAAAGTGTTCATCAGACGCATCATGTTACTACCTCCTCCTTTTCTTTGCTCTTCCCTTGTTAACCAACTATACCAACATCCCGTTGAGGACTCTTAGTTGCAATAGGGCCTGGTTGATGTTATTAAATAAAGACCAATTCTGCTTTAGCATTCGGACCAGCACTACAGCCATACTTTGAGCTTGTGGGAAATCAATTAAAGTGATTTGTAGTATTCAATTATAGACAACTGTTACCAATCCGCTTCTGGTTTTAAAGTGCCACCAGTGAGCTTGGCACACAAATAGGGTGCCAAAGAGTTCCTGCCTAACTGAGTTTGCACTCTGAATGTGTGAGGGAAAACAACAGACTACAGCTACTACTATTACCACAGACACAGACTACTGTCTTAGTCTCATTCATTCTAGTTCAGTCTAGTCTAACACAGAAAATGTTTGCTGGGCATATTTTCTCTTTGGCCTGTGGAGAGTCCCAAGGATTTTGTAATAAGAGCAGCTGACAACATGCACAGTTCATTTCAGGCTACTGATTTAATCCAAATATCTGAAATGAATGCAGTTCTCTAAAGGGCAGTAATATCTTGCATCAAGTTTGGAAACAAACAAAAGGCTTCCTGTTCAATGTAGAAGTTACCTTGTCAGCTCCTGGCTCACAGACTTTCCTCCAAAAATGCTCGAAACACTGGAACTAGAAACATGTATTTGCTACACTCTTGAAAACGCTGGCATCTGAAGGGCTTTAGGTCAAGAGAGATTCCTGCTGACAAATAGGGGATGACTCAATAAATTAGACTACCGGAGAAAAAAATCATCTGGCAGAGGCACTGCTGTTCATCACAGCAAGGCTAAATATCAGCCTGAGGAGTTTTCTGCTACTTATTTCTTTTTTGTTTATGATTAACTTGATTTGCCATCTTACGATTGCCAGTATGAGGAAAAGGCGTTGCCTGCTCTCTGAAATATTTCCATTCGCTTGTATCGCTCCATGAAACCACATGAGTCAGATCAGTTTGTAAATCTAATCCTCATTCAGTGTTGTAAAAGCCATCAGTAAACAGAAACATGCCTAACTCAGTAGCTTGGTGACATTTTATGAGCGGTGCTGTACAAAAGGTCGCACAGATGACCTATTTGCTCCTCCTTTGAAATCTCTGAATCTACCAGAAGTGCAAAATCCTGGCAGTGACTGAAGCCTGGTCTGAAATGGAGCTGCACAGCCCCTGCAAGGATAGAGGCAACACATAATAAAGGGCTTGTATCACACTGGGAAAGTCACCTTTGCTCTCAGTTCCTTGGGTAATTCTTCACCCAGCTGCAATTCAGCTGCTCTGAAAAACAAGCAAAAGTAACACAGGTCAGAGTGCAGTCCTGGGGAAAAAAGGGGGTAAAAAACCACTCTATGTGTAGTTACATAAAATCTGGCTTTTCTTATCCTATTGATATTATCCTTCTACATATTCAAAGACAGAAATGTTAACCTTTATAACAAAATATAGCTGGTAGGGGGATAGAAAAGTGGGATGTTTCTGCTTTTTATGCACTCTCAAGCCACCATAGCTGAGAGAGATCAACCTGTGGATTCAGTCATCATTTGCAAAATGTTATTAATTATACCAGTGTAAAACTACAGGGAACAGTGAATTGTTACCGCTGAAAATTATTTGATCTGTAGTTACCAGAAGTTTGGGAAAGAGGCTAATAGGCTGTATGCATTCCCTAAAGGGCCTGGAAACTACCTTGGTTTGGTGTGTATTATGACAGTACATCAATTAATAGAGATGTGCGCATGCTTCTGAGTAGATGACTGGAGGGTGCCTACATCTAGAGTGCCTTGAACTTACATTATCTTTAGGTTTGCCAGTTGTTATGTACAGAAGAGCTTCAAATGATATGTTTGTACAAAGATTGTTTACTAATACTAACATAAGTTGGTAAGAGGTTTAATTTAGAATCACAGAATCATAGAATGGTTTGGGTTGGAAGGGACCTTAAAGATCATCGAATTCCAACCCCCCTGCCATGGGCAGGGACACCCTCCACTAGACCAGGTTGCCCAAAGCCTCATCCAGCCTGGCCTTGAACACCTCCAGGGATGGGGCATCCACAACCTCCCTGGGCAACCTGTTCCAGTGCCTCACCACCCTCACAGGAAAAAACTTCCTCCTAATATCTCATCTAAATCTACCCTCTTTCAGCTTAAAGCCATTACCCCTCATCCTATCGCTACACTCCCTGATCAAGAGTGCCTCCCCATCTCTCCTGTAGGCCCCTGTAAGTACTGGAAGGCTGCTGTAAGGTCCTTGTTCATCCATGCAGGCTTCCTGGCATTTTTGCATTTCGCTCCTGAGCCTGGAGGAGCTGGTCATTGATTATTAACCTGCTTTCTTGGGCCCCTCTTCCCTACAGGGCTTTGTCCCATGGTTCTCCACTGAGCAGATCCCAGAAGAGGTCGAAGTCTGCTCTCCTGAAGTCCAGGGTAGTAATTTTGCTACATGGCCCCCTCACTGCCCTAAAGATCTTGAACTCAGCACTTTGTGGTCACTACAGCCAAGGCTTCCCTTGAGTTTCACATTCCCCACCAGCCCTTCCTTGTTGGTGAGAACAAGGTCCAGCATTTATTTTTACATAAGATACTGTAAATCAATGCGCACCTGAAAAAGGAGACTGTATGTATTCAGCTTAATTATTTCAAATCAGTTTAAACCATTGTCAAACCATTGGTCCAAACAAGTGACTCGGTGTTTACTATGGTGATAGAGCTCCTTACAAAGCTATTTGGCATACGCCCTGAATACACACCCATGCTTTATTTTCATCCAGTCACCTTAATGTGTGATTTTACTAACCTTCTTATACAAGTGCAACTTCTCTGTCAGTTTAAAAAGGACTTGTGACAGTTTAGTTAATGCAATCCTGCAGCAACTTCTTCAATGCTGCTTGTCTCTTCTTTTATAAAAAAGTGTACCTGCAGAGTTTTGATAGTGGAGAAACTTTGTTACTCATCTTTAACAAACGTTTTAATGCATGTTAACCATTCACCTGGTTCTGTTTTGTAGCTCTGCATTAGCAACCACCAAACCAAATCTTCCCATGCAAATGACTTCTTGCTTTGATATAGACATTTTAACAGGAACTGCTGCACTAATTCTACGGTAGTCACAATTGTCCTTTAGCTTGAATGTTGACAGCAACTAGAGGAGCCATTTTACTTTGACATGGAATGCAACCATTTATGAAACAGAATGGAAGAAGCACCAAGCTTCAAAAAACTAAAGAGACAGAGAAAGCAGCTGTTCTACCTTCTTAGCTAGCAAAGACAAAGGGACACTGCTTTCCTTTCTGCTCATTTTACCGTAGATGACCTGCTTCATGCTTGGATTGAAAACCACTGCTTCTCCAGTTAGGAAACAGATCAGAGACAGGACGTAGTTTTTATTTAATTTGTCCTATCCATATAGGGCATGGATATTCTACCCTATAATGTATACACTATATATTTTTAATAATTATTTATGTCAACACATTCACAAAGAGCCTTATCTTTACAACAAGGTTAATTATTAATTCTGGAACTTTCCAGAGGTGCATTAACATTGTATTTTAAGCCTGGACTGTACCTTCCATTTCCCTCATGTCCTCAATGAGTGATGCAAGCTCTGTCTCAGTATGAGCTGTAGGTGAGCCAAGAGGAACACTGAGAAAGGTAAGTCCTTCATACAGAATCACAGAATCACAGAATGT